AGCAAACAGAACTGCAGAGCTGCAAACATTTCAAACAAACTAAGGCCTAAAACACTCAGTTGTCTTTGTGTATTTGTGACAAAGCGCCATCTCATGGTTAAATCCTGTAATTGAACAAATGGGGAAATTTGGCAACGCCCCCAGCCACTGGGATCCGCTGGGTTTTTGGTTGGAATCCGCTGGGTGGAGTCCTATCTGGAGTGCTACATCTGTACATGAAGAAGCTCAACGAAGGACAAAGATGAAAATAACATAAATACAATAGTCAAAAAGCCGAAAATATACACAAATCTGAAAAACACACAAAATGTAAGTAAAATTATTAGAAGAAATTTGCAATTTGGGGTGAAGTGTCTCAGGGACACAACGACATGCAGTGGGGTTCGAACCTGTGACCCCCCGATCCGAACACCAACGCACAATCCATTGCACCACATGCCAGACGCTCTGTTCTTCTGTTGGGGGTTTACTCTTTCCGGTACACGTGTCCCAAGAGTCAATTAAATTAAATAAGTAAATATTTAATAACGTTGATTTCCAAAACAACCAAAACCTTTAGTCTCCAATGTACATTTTAACATTTCTCTAACAGTGTATTATATAAGTTGTGTTTTTTTTTAGACTTAATAATTATTTATAGTCTACTAGAGCTGAAAGTAATCCTCCTGAGACCTAGAAAAATAATAGACAGCAATCTGAGAAAAAAAGTCAAACATCCGAAACAAAATTTGAAAGTCCAAATCTGAGATAAAGTAAAAAGTCTGAGAAAAAAAACAAAAAATTCTGAAAGACGGTACATTTTTTTCCCATCACTCAAATTAAATAGAAAAGTAAATATTTACCAACATTCAAAACAACCAAAACCTTTCGTCTTCAATGTACGTTTTAACATTTCTCTAACAGTGTATTATATAAGTCATGTTTTTTTTCTACTGGAAGCTGTACGGAATTCAGGAAAAAAAATAAAATTCGGAGGAAAAAGTCGACATTTTGAGAAACTCAAAATCATGAACACATTTAAAAGCTTTGAAAGAAAAAGTAAATACTGAGAAAAGTCAAAATTCGGAGAAAAATGTTAATTCTGGGAAAAGTCAGAATTCTGAAAAAATATCTAAATTCTGAAAGAATTCTGATGAAAAAGTCAAAATTCTGAAAAAGAAAATAATAATTTTGGACATTTTTTGGGTGTTGGAAACACACAGGTGTGAGGAGGTAGCTTGACGGTTGCCGGTGGTACAATGCACAGCTTGCATTTGTATATAATTTTTTTTTTTTTAAATGTGAAATAATGTTTGTGCAAAAAAGATATGTATCAAACGCTTCAACCTGCAATAACATTTTTGGGTGTCGGAAACATACAGGTGTGAGGAGGTATCCACTATCATAATATAGGACGAAACATAAAGAAGCATTACATCCTGAGGTCACCATACAGGTGTGAGGAGGTAGCTTGACGGTTTTTAACATTTGAAATAATGCTTTGTGCAAAAAAGATATGTATCAAACGCTTCAAACTACATTTTTCAAATGTTGAAAAATATATATTTATATACAAATGTAAGCTGTGCATTGTACCACCCAACCGTCATTACATCCTGAGGTCACAGACATTTTAATATTGCAGAAACCACCTACAGTAGATGCTGCTAGTTTTAAAATGACCTGTGCCTGGAGCTGGATTTATATATGTAAAAATCAAAATTCTGAAAAAAGTCAAAATGCAGAGACCAAGTCAAAATTCTGAGAAAAAAAAATCTACTTTCTGTAAAAAAAGAAATCTGAGAAAGATTCTGAAATAAAGTCAGTATTCTGGATCACTGTACAAAATATATGTATTAAAGGTTTCACCCTGCACGTCCCATAATATAGGCTGAAACATAAAGCAACGTCACATCCTGAGGTCACAGAAACCACATACAGTAGATGCTGCTGGTTTTAAAATGACCTGTGCCTGGAGCTGGACTTATCATCAGAACCACATGATGACGCTGCTGTCCCTGCAGAAAGATGGTGACTCATGTTTTCAATGTGTTTCTGCTTCTGTTCAGCCATATTACAACTCTCTTTCTGCACGCAGTGCACCTCCTTCCTGTTCACCTGCTGCAACATGCAGGGAATCACAACAGTGCCTGGCTGAAGAGGAGGCCTTTCATACCCGATGTGTTGGACATTAATTGATAAATGAAATTGGTGTTCTTTTACCCTCTCAAATAAAAATAAAGATATGAAAATGAATGTCGTTTTTTTTGTATTTATAATTTTGAAATTAAACATTGTTCATGTCATACATACAGATATTTCACTGGGTTATAAATACATATCTTAGCCCTTTTTTTTGGAGTAAAACAAATACAGTTATGTATTTAGTTTTTACGGACCAATAACAAAATTATCCTACTCTTTTACGTCATGACGTCATCCCCCGCACGCCTCCGTTCCAAAGGTCCCGACGTCACGACACAGCGGTGTAGGATGTAGCTCAGGACGTGGCTAACGAGCTACTAGTTACAGTAGGACGTCAGGAAAATAAAAAACCTCGGGATTAGGATCTGTTTCACTACATGTTCAAGTAGGTATACCATTCCGTAATGATGTGTTCCCCTAAGGTGGCGGGTTGTGATGAGACATTTGTCGGTGTCGTTTCCTCAGACTGAGATCTGTCTGGTTAGCTCGATGCTAACATCCAGAGGAAATCTAGTTAGCATGCGTTAGCTCGATGCTAACATCTATAGGAAACTAACGGGTATCTGGTTAACAGGCGTTAGCTCGATGCTAACATCATAGGAAATCAACGGCTATCTGTTAGCATGTGTTAGCTTGATGGTAACATCCAGAGCAAACCCAGTTAGCAAGCGTGAATCAGACTCAGAATACCTTTATTATTTCCACAGCGGCGAAATGTACTGTGTGGCATAGCAGGTTTAAAAAAAGGCCAGCATATTAAAGTATTGCCACCATAAAAATACGTTTCTGGACATCTATGAAAATATGTATAGCACCGTACAGTGTTTATATTGCACATTGCACAATATTTCAACAGTTAGCTGCATGTAATTAATGACCAGGAAACTGCACTGACACCGGTCAAAGTCAAACAGAAGGGTGTTACATCGAGATGACTGCACTTTAGCTTATTATTAACATAAAGGCAGTGAAATATAGTGAAATGTGTCACAGAATCACATCATAGACGTGGCTAACGTTAGCATTGGTGGTTAGCATGTGTGCATGCAGAGCGCGATGGATGTGCAGCCAGGTGTGTGTGTGTGTGTGTGTGTGTGTGTGTGTGTGAGAAACCAGGTCAGCTGTATATGAATATATATTTATACACACAGGAGGTGGTGCACATGTTGGGGTGTTGGAGGGTTAACCACCTCCTCTCTTGGCTCACCGTAAGGCTCAAACACCTTTCATTCATCTAGTAATTACACTAAATGTGCTTTTTAAATAGCATGTCCCTCTCGGTTTAGCTTCATGTAAGGTCATCCCGGTAAAGTAAGTAAATACTGCTTATAGTTTTCTTAAAATAGTTTTCTATCTGTGTTTTGAATTTTTGTTTTACTTTTATGTATGCACCACAACACCACATCAAGTTCCTCGTACGTGTCAACCTACCTGATGATAAACCTGTTTCTGATTCTGAAGTACTAAGTATGAGGAAAAAGCATCTGATTCAAAGGTGTGTTGTAATTTGATCTTTAGGCCGTTTTAGTATTCCTGTAACCGTCTCTGTTTCTTCTTTTGTGGGTTAATGAAGCATAACTCACCTCTTGGTGTCAGCCATGGGAGGATTTTTGAACAACCCGCCAGGCACAGCTGACCAAATGTCACTTAATAACAGGTGTACCAAACAGAAAGAGACTCAAAATGACCTGAACGAGAAATACACAGACTACAAAGACACCAAATAGCATCAAGGACACACGTTACTGCAAATACAAACCATAAAGAAACATACATGCAAATAAAGAGATGCAAGATGACCACCAACAGCTCTGTGTCGTGGTGGGGCTTATAGCATGTCTGTCTCTGTCCTAAAATCAGAGATCCCGCACCGGGGAAACATTATTATTATGACTTATAATCTTTCCTAGCCATCTACTATCCAATACTGTTTTTAAAAACTGAATAATTAATGTGAATATACTTTCTTTTTTGCAGGGGGGTTGTGTGTCTCTTTTCCCGGACAGATTGTTTCTGCCTGATGTCGCAGTTTTACCTCCAGAGCTGAATGGAAGCATTTCAGGCCTTTTGTGAGTGAGGTAGGCTCCGCGTGTTTGTGTATATACAATAAGTGTTTATATCTATCTTCAGCCACATGGGGATGTCTAAATATCACCTGTGTGTTTCAGGAGGCTGTGTATCCCAGGTATGTACCATGGGGTACGACATTACGAGGTTCCAAGGGGAGGTGGATGAAGACCTGCTGTGCCCCATCTGCAGTGGAGTGCTGGAAGAACCAGTGCAGGTCAGTTCAAGATAAGAAGTACTTTATTCATCCTAATTTGGGACATGTTTGCGTGAAAGCAGCGGTGTCCAAACCTTTTTCACCGAGGGCCACATACAGAAAAACATACGAAGGGCTGGGCCGCTCACTAGAGGTATATTACCTCATAAGTTAAATCTCTCCAGAGGGTTTGAGTTATTGTGTAAGCGGCTCATCCATTCAAACAGAAGCCTCAGATTGATGGTCATTAGAGGAAATAGGAAGAGTTTATTTAGAGCCTTAGTCACTGGGCTTTTTCTTATCAACTTAGATTTGTTAGAAAATGTTTCCAACTTTAATTGACTGAATTTATCAGAACATTGGGCTTACCAACTAACACATGAATACTGTGTAATATATTTGAACATATATATTTAAGATGTGCATTATAAGACGAGCAGAAGTTTCCTTTGTGAGCCATATTTCACTAAACTTACTTTATATTTAATTAGCTGAGGGCCGATTCAAAATGTCCCGTGTGTGTGTGTGTGTGTGCGTGCGTGCATGTGTAGGGCGGCACT